ATCTTTTTTTCCAGTATCATAACCAACATGGGTTGCAGTATTCCAGGTAACAAACCTGTCATGCCCCGGTTGGAATCTGATTCCGAGGGAGAGGTGGAACAGCTGACAGGGAGTGGGAGTGTGGCTCCGGTGGCTGTGGAGGAAACTGGGGAAGGGCACAGGCTGGTTGGGCATTCAGAGGAAGACCCAGGGCCAGCCCCTCTTCACCCTAGGGCACACAGGGAGGAATGGATAAGGGAGCAACATGGTTTACGGGGGAGGAAAGGGCCCTGATCCCCTTCATGGGCTGCAGCTGGGAAGACTGTTTAAAAGGGCAAACTGTGCATGGCAAAGTTGCTGGAAGCAAAGTGTGAAATTATTCTGGTTTGTCAAATCTAACCTGGGTTTTGGCGTCCTTCCGACTGTGTGTGCCTCATTATCTTTTGGGAGTCTGCAAGTTATTATCCTTTTCTGTTGCGTTAATGACTTCGGCGTGGTTTGTGTTGATTTTTTTATTTCTACTTTTTCTGTATTTTGGGTTTGGACTGCATTTCTTCCTGTTGTAGACTGTTTTTGGAAGGGTTTGATCTCCCACCGAGGATAATTGGACATTGTGGGCCAAGTTGGAGGCATTAAAGGGAATGTATCTACTTTGGTGACTTTGTTATTTTTGTGCCACACCCCTTTGGGTCATCACAAAACCCTAGTTAGTTAGACAACTATCGCTGGAAAATTTCAAGCGGAACCTGGCCAAAGAGACTCGGATGAATCTCTGCAACATTCTGGTTTTAATAAAAAAAAAAATCCTCCCGCTGAGAACACAAAGATAAAATGATTTCTTAAAGCTCGGGTGAAGGCAGGTTGCCTGTGATAAGGCTGGAGGACCAGAGAAGAGGGGAAAAAAACAACAACATGGACCCATTACTAAAATGATTACCTGTAAGTTATCCAGAATAATCCGCAGGGACTGCACCTGCCTCCGAACAGCTCCAGAAAACCGTTCGTATGTCGACGCATCGTATTCACTCATCTGGATCTCTTTTAATCTGAAGCAAAACAACGTTGGAAGTGAGTGAAAACGGGTTCTTTTGTGATAGCTATCGAAGGCTAGGCATTCAATATTAAGTAGAATACAAACAGCCCCCACTTTACAACAGTTTGCTGAGTGACTGTTCACTGAAAACGGCATTGAAAAAGTCAATATTGGAGATGGATACAGACACGGGTGGAGCCAATGGTGGGAGAGCATATTCCATTTAAGCCAGGAATTATTTCTCTTGGGAATAACGACAGAAGGGGATAGGAAAAGTATTGCCTATTTAATGGTACATGTACGGACAGCAGTGAGAATGGTATACGCACAATACAGTTCATCAGTCTGGAACCCACATTACGTATCTGATATTAGCACAGTTGAGAAAGTCCAGAAATATTTCACAAGAAGAGTTCTCCACTCCTCTACTCGTTGTAGAATACCTTATGCCACCAGACTTGAAATTCTAGAACTAGAAAACCTTGAATTACGCCGTCTTCGGTCTGACTTAAGCATGGTATATAAAATCATACATTGCAATGTCCTACCTGTCAATGAATACTTCAGCTTCAACCATAACAACACAAGAGCACACAATAGATACAAACTCAAAGTTAACCGCACCAAACTTGATTGCAGGAAATACGACTTCAGCAATAGAGTGGTCAATGTCTGGAATACTCTACCCGACTCTGTAGTTTCTTCCCCAAACCCCAAAAACTTTAACCTTAGACTGTCTACTATTGACCTCACCCCTTTCCTAAGAGGTATGTAGGGGGCGTGCATAAGCGCACCAATGTGCCTACCGTCCCTGTCCTATTGTTTCTCTTATTCTTCTTTTATTTTTCTTATATGTACCCATTTCATGTATTCACAACTATGTATACACTTATACTTATTATCTTGTAAACAATTGGCAAATCAAATAAATAAATAAATAAATAAATAAAAATAAATAAAACAATATTGGAAAGAATGAAAATCACAGCACCTGGTGGGTGGTTGTTGTTGTGGGGAAAAGAGAAGGAGGAAGAAGGTGTGTTGGGAGATGTTTGACACTTGGGTTGTTTGTAAAAGGAATGTAGGTGAGACACAGATGATAGAGACAGACAGACAGGCAGACAAAGACCTAAGGTAGACTGGTGCATTTGTAAAAACAATAAAGGTGGGAGACAGATAGATGGTAGATAGGTGGGCAGATAGAAAGACCAACAGGTAGAGACATATGATGGACAGATACACGGTTATTGGCCTTGAGTTATTTGTAAAAACAATAAAGGAGCCATATAGATAGATGATAAATGGTAGATAGATAGAGAAACAGATGAGAGATAGATGGATATAGATAGATAGATGACAGATAAATGGATAGTAGATAGAGAGAGATGGAAGATAGATGACAGACAGACAGAGAGATAGAGAGAAGATAGAGGTAGATAAAGAGAGAGAGATGGAAGATAGATGACAGATAAGAGATGATAGTAGACAGATAAATGGATAGACAGATATAAATAAGGAAGGAGTGAGGGAGGGAAGGAAGGAAGGAAGGATAAAAAAGATGGATGGAATGAAGGAAAGAAGGAAGAGAAGGAAAGAGAAGAAGGAAGGAAGAGAAGGAAAGGGAAGGAAGGAAGAGAAGGAAAGAGAAGAAAGGAAAGAGAAGGAAGGAAGAGAAGAAAGAGAAGGAAAGAGAAGAAAGGAAAGAGAAGGAAGGAAGGAAGAGAAGGAAGGAAGGAAGAGAAGGAA